AAGGCAGCATGGTAAAGAGCGTGTGCGAGGGGTGCATTGGGTCCTCCACAATGCTGGTGGCTTTGCAGAAGCAGCAGGTGCGATAGGTGTCTGTGATGGAGGGAAGAGAGTTTCCAATGATCTTCTCAGCTGTTCCCACTAACCGCTGTAGGGTATTGCGATCCGATACAGTGCAGTTACCATACAAGACAGTGATGCCGCTATGCAGGACACTCTCGATAGTCTCTCTGTAGAAGGTGGTGAGAATGGGTGGGAGATGGGCTTTTCTCAGCTTTCGCAGGACATAGAGATGCTGTCGGGCCTTCTTAGTTATGGAGCTGGTGTTGAGAGACCAAGAGAGGTTCTCTGCCAGGTGAACACCAAGGAATTTGGTGCTCTTCAACCACCACAGAGGATCCGTCGAAGTTAACTGGACAGTGCTCTCCTGAAGTCAACAATCTGTTTTGTTTTGTCCACCTTCAGAGACAGGTTGTTGACTCTACACCAGTCTGTTAGCTGTTGCACCTTCTCTCTGTATGTTGACTCGTCGATCTTGCTGATGAGACTCACCACAGTCGTGTCATCAGCGAACTTGATGATGTGGTTCAAATTGTGCATTGCTGCTGAGTCAGTAAAGTGAACAGCAGTGGGCTGAGCACACAGCCCTGAGAGGCTCCAGTGCTCAGTGTGGTGATGTTGGTGATGCTGTTACCGATCTGGACTGCCTGAGGTCTCTCCATCAGAAAGTCCAGGATCCGGTTGCAGAGGGAGGTGTTCAGACCCAGCAGGCTCAGTTTTCCAATCAGGTGCTGAGGAATGATTGTGTTGAATGCTGAACTGAAGTCTATGAACAGCATTCGTACATACGGGTCTTTATTGTATTTTCCTACCACAGTGAGGTGAGCTGGCTTTCAAGAGGACTGGACCTCAAATGTTTGTTGGAACTGGGGAATGAGATCGTTTCTTTTCTCACAGAGAAAAAAAAATCTCCTCTTGCACATGAACATCTCACTTCAAGGAAGAAACAGCAACATGTTTTTTTGTTGCAGACAAAGTTGAAGCTTTCAAGAGGAAATTGCTTTGTGGACTAAGAGGGCCCAGGAAAAGAGGATGGACATGTTTCCACTTTTGTCTTACATCTTGGAAAACTCTCCTCAGGTGAAGATCAGTGATCAGTCTGTCAGCACCTTTCACAACTGACAGAGAAATTTGCTAAATATTTCCCTGAGGAATCCAGAGAAGGACACATGTGGATTTTGGACCCATTTTCTGTGGAAGTCTATATGATAATTGTGTTTTTCTAACTATGGGTAACTGAGGATCAGAGGTGTGTCAGGATAATGAAAGGTGAAAAATGAGAGGGTCTCCCAGTGGTTTCCAGACAAGACCAGATTAACTGATTCAGTTTGATGAGTTATAGAGCAAAAACCTGGTTATTGAGTGCAATGGCAGGTATGGGAGGTTCTAGCATGAATGGAAGGGCTAACATTTAAGGCTTGCAAAAATAAACCCTGAAGCCAATGATCGGGCCAACTGGCTTCCAGTTGTACAAATCAGTGACAAACTTTGCTACACTACGTTTTGCCCTGCCATAAATTTAATAATTGGCCACGCTGCCCTCAGAGACTGGGTGAGTGAAAGTCTTTGTCAGCTCACCAAGAAGCCCAACATATAGACAGGAAATAATTGGGTGAAATGAAAATAATAATAAAAATAAGCTTCAGCCCATGCCAGCGTCTTTCTCCTCAGCAGACCTACTAAGTGGGAGAGTTTAGCAGCATTGTCAAAGAAAGAGGCGATTGGCCGAACACAAATGAGCACTGTAAGAGAAAGCCCTGTACCGGCCCAACTCACCGGAAAAAGGTTTGAGTGTTGAGGACACTGCATCATGGAACACAGGCATGGTTTGCAGAGACCAGGGCAGAGAAAAGTGGAGCGTCTTTCTCAGGAGCAGCAAACGGGGACTGTGCTGAGTGTACTGGTGGCTGATTGGGGGTGGGAGTGATGTCTGAACAGAGCTTTGGAAATGTGGATAGGATTTCCTACTGTCTGTCACTGATTGATTTGCACCTGATTTTGCCTGAAACTGCAGGATTTGCTCGTGATCACCAATTATTGCTCCCTGTTTGGAGATCACTGTCCAAATTACGTCTGCTGGATCTATTTTTTCTGCCAGTTTGTACTGTCAAAGGCGGTCAATGGTGTGAAGGCAACTGAGGGAGAGGATGGTTAATTCCAGAGCTGAGTTAAGGTTGACAGAAGGTGAGTTTTCAGGAATGAAGACGGGAGAAGAGAGGCTTCGGTGAGGGTGACTGAGTGAGAGTCTGGCTATTTAGTGTTAGCCGTTAGTAATGCCGTTACTTTTAACGCTGTTAATCCCATCACTGGTCTTCAAAATCGCCATTAAATTGAAACCAGAGGTTTTGTATTAATGTTCTGTAGAATACAGTTGGACTGAATTCCACCTGGTCTTTTTTTACTAGTGTGATAGGTAACTCTGTTGAAATTGTTACACTTTTTTTTTTTTAATTTATGCTAAGACTAAAATTTTCTTGTAATTTTTTTTTTTTAATAAACAAGCTAAGCTTATCTACTCTATTTATTCTTCTCTTCAGGTACTGTGTATGATCACAGCTCCAGTCACCATGATTCTGTCCTCCCAGCAGGATGCCTCTTTCGCCTTCGCCTCTTTAGCCATTGTCTTCTCAGTCTACATCACCCTGGTGGTTCTGTTTGTCCCCAAGGTAAATCCATCTCACACCTCTCTTCATCCCATACCTGCAGATTAAACTAGCACATTTAGTGTAAGACCGGATGAAAATCCATTAGCATGGACGGCATCTGAGACTGCATGATATATCACCTGAGGGTCTGCAAATTGGGTGAGTGTTGCCGTGTCAGCATCACCAATTCAGATCTTTAACAGTCTACTCTGGCCAATCAGCATGGTGCTGTGTCTCTGTTCATATTCCTGGAGTGCTGTTAGTTTAGGGAGGATGATATTAACTAAGTACACAAATATCACGTCCGTACTTGCCAAGTAAATCAAAAAACACATTTTAATTAGTAAGAATGAGGTCCCATTCCTCTCTGATAAAGGATTCTAGATGCTCTGTAGTCCTGGGTGATCTTTGTTAAATCCTTTGTTTCATAATGTGCAAAATGTTTTGAGTTGGTAAAAGTTCTGCAAAAGAAGTACCTATCAGCAGATGGACTCTTCTACAGTACTACAAAGCTCTGCTGTAATAGATGCACTATGGAGTTTTCATGTATCACATTAAAAACGTTTGCACAATTTGTAGATGCGGCGCCTGATAACACGTGGTGAGTGGCAGTCAGATGCCCAGGAGACCATGAAGACAGGTTCATCCACCAATAACAATGACGAGGAGAAGTCCAGACAACTAGAGAGAGAGAACAAGGAACTGCAGAAGATCATCCAGGAGGTCAGGCAGGCCCTTTTCTTATCCAAGTGTTTGTTTCATTTAAGCTCTTCCTCTGTATTTAACAGGTTAATGACTCAAATACTTTTTCTCCCAAGAAGTACCTAAACAAGACAGCAGGTTCTCCTGTTAACTAAGTCAGTTAAAACAGATGCTTATCATGTAAAAGTCTTTTTGGATCTGTAATAACTTAATTTTTGAGTGTTTACTTTACTTTTCCCTTAGAAAGAAGAACGTGTGTCAGAGCTGAGGAACCAGCTGTCTGAGAGACAGGCCCTGCGTTCAAGGAGAAGAGCGTCCACCATCACTAATCAGAACCACAGCCCCCCTCCCTTTTCCATCACCCAGAGTGACCCCAGGTCGTTGGCCCCTCCTCCAGGATACCCAGCGCCTGCCTCTGACCCTCATCCTGTTCCACAGTCCTTCGCCAACTCGTCCAGCCTCTACCAGTCAGACAGCAAGATCAGTCGAAATAAGTGTCACACTAGCCGGCTTCAGCTACTCTACAAGTAAGATGGTGGTTAACAGTGACAGGATGAGGATAGTAATACAAGTTTGAAAAATAAATAAATATCTAAGGTTTAAAATGAAGATTAAAAAAAAGGTAAAGGATTTTCCCTCAGACAGAAATGAGTGCAGCAAAATATGTTCCAGTCAAGCAACAGCTCAATAAAAACACTGAGAAGGCACATACACAGATATACACCCTGTGATAGCACATGTACTTTTGATTAATTTGATTGAGGCATGAGCAGCGTCTTTAAATGTCCCCTGGCTTTGAGGTCAGTTTACCACTACTACTACAACTTGAAAACAGTAGAGCGGCTGTAGCTCAAGATGTAGACTGGGTCATCCACCCGTTGGAAGATTGGTACTTCTGTGCTTGGCTCCTCCAGACATCAAAGAATCCTTGACCAAGATCCTGAGTTGCCCCAAAGGCATCCATCACAGTATGAGGTAAACAGCACTTAGTCATAGAAAAAAGTGCTTAAATGAATGTGTGCAAATGGGTGAATAAGGGTTGTAGTAAGGAAGCACTTTGAGTGTTCAAATACAGTAGAAAAATGCTATGTGTACCAGTCCAGTATTTTCTAAGCTGATCTCTGCTGGATTTGTTTTTGATTTATTGTTCTGGATAAATTTCCTCCCAAATTTGTAACTGGTCTGTTCTCTATTAGATTTAAATGGTAGCCTACAAAACTAGCGAGGTTAGTTTAGACAGGGCGCCTTAGGATTGAATCAAATAAATTATAGTTTTAAACCTGTCCTGGTGCTCACTGTTTGGTGAAAGAGGAGCAGAGGTCTGTCCAAGAAATCTGTCTTCCAGTTTTGATGAGTGAAATTTTATTATTTCATTAGTATGTTGCTTAGTACTAATTAGCAGGTATCCACAGTATCTGCCCAGTGCACCAATATAGTTAGTGGTTGCAGTTTGCTAACCAGGCAAGAGATGGCTAATAAGCCCCACTTTTAATAACATGCTGGTGAGTGGCTGCATCCATCATTGTTATTACACTTTCAAACTGGTTGGGTTTATATAGAGAGTGGTAGAGTTGTAGAACAACAAAATTCCCAGAAGACTAGGCTATTTGTGTTATAAGCAAGATAGACATAATTATAGCCTACATACATACTTGCATTCTACATTTGTTCCCCAGTGATAATATCTTTGAGCAAACCAAAAGACTGTGTGTACAGACTTTTATGGCTGTGGTGTGCATTGCTACAATGTGTAACTAAATTTCTGTGTACTAGATTTAATGCAGAAGTACAAATCAAGTTGAACATTGCATACAACGGTATTTTCAGCAGTGACAGGTTTACTATCAAAATTCAAAGTAATCATTTATGAAACAAGAAGAAGAGCATTCTGTCTGCGATGACCATAAGAACAACAGCTGCCACTGACACTGAACACTGAAGTTAGACCAATGAGAGTTTCTTTAGCTGAATCATTTAAAAAACTAGAAACATATAAAAGGCGCTTTGATATGCAGACAGTTATCAGCATGCCTATTATGCTGATGTTCACAGATTCATGATAAAGCTGCTGACCTAGGCATGATAGTCAGCATCCCCCACTGGTGTATGTAATAGACATAGTGTCAGGTGGACCCAGGTGGCAGATCACTCAGACAGACACGGTTGCAGTTAAACAGGTTTGTTTACAGTGAGGACGAATATCAAACATAACACTTGCATGAGATTGAATGGAAAACTCAAACTATCCAGAGGGGGAAGAGGAGAAAAGGAAGTTAGTGACCGATAGCAACAGAGCTGAGGAGATACGGAAATGTTCACAAGGAATTAGAGAGCTTAGTCGCCACACGGTTAGTACGGACTTGGGCGAGGTACATAAAACAGGAGGTTGAGGCGGGGACCAGCAACAGTGTAGGCGAGTGGAGTGACGGGGTCCAGAAGAGATGAACTGAGGTAGCACGGTGAAGTGGACAGGTGGTTGGCTGGGCAGAGAGTGTCGTCATTTGACAGGAAGCAGAGGAGAAGGAAATCTGTGAATACCTTGGTTATCAAAGTAGTACATAAAAGACGGGTGATCCGTTACTGCTTGAGGCTAAGACAATAATCTGACACCTGAGAGCTGCTTCTTAAATAGTCCGGCTGATGACGCCTGATGCTCAAAGGGTGCATCAGGGAAACCGTGATGATCACAGCCCAGCGGCCTATTCCAAAAAAGGAAACGACACAAAACACAATAGAACACACCCGTCCCAGCTCCTAACACATAAAACGTGCACAAAACTTACAGTACATCATTATTATTATTCATAAAATTACTATTTTATTTAAATATTTTAAGGAAAATGCAGGCTAGAGGGTCTCAGTTCATACAGGGCACATTTAAGACACTTTTAAATCACAGTTTAAAAAATAATCAAATGCCGCAACAACAGCCTAGCAATCATTTAGAACTCATAATATGGTCTTCTAATGTGGTTAAATAGTGATTTAAGAGACTGACTAAAAAATATGATTTTCTTTTTAAATAAATGTTGCACATTTTGTTAGTGGTTATGTTCATTATTTAATTAGCTTTGTCACTGTAGCTCTTCTGGTTAAATGTTTGGTGGTGGTTTAAACAGTGTTCCTGGTCGCTGTTTAGAGAGAATCCATAGTTGGGTGTGTTCATGCTAAACCCCTCTCTGTCACTTGAAGACGTTTAACATGTCTTCAAGAGTTTAAAATTAGAGTCAAACAAAATAAGACCTCAAAATGTTTTATTTAAACTAAATTTGCTGTAGGAATTACATTTGCAGATCTTATGTTTAAGGCTGTAAAATACAACATGACCAATTTTTAAATCAGTTTTTAGACCTTTTTTCTAGTTGCTTAATATTGTTGCTGCTTATTTATGTCACGAGCATATATTTCTTTTAGGATGTAATTACACTGTCCTATACACTTGGGGGTGCTAATGTCATGATTTGTTGTGTTTTACTGTTCCACTGGCAAGTTTACAGCAGCATGTAGTACACGGACACCCATCTTAGGACAGGATGGGTGTCAGCTAAACATATGAATTGAAAAAACATCATAACATTTATCTGGTTCTGTTGTGAACATTTTCTACCAGTTTTGCCTTTTTCTGTTTGGAGAAATGACAATTGGTGTTGAATTCAAACTGCAAGCTTGAAGGAAATATGTCAACTACAGAATGGTTAATTATAATAAACGCAGTAGCTACATGTAATACCAGACTAGCTTTCAATTAAAAATGGTAAGCCTGTTGACTATATGGCCAGCAGTGTATTTCAGACAACTCCAATGAACAGTTCCTGTCACCTTGTTTTTAAAGCTCAAAGCAGAGTTCACTGCAGGCCATTCAATTCAGTTCAATTCAATTTTATTTACACAGCGCCAAATCACAACAACAGTCACCTCAAGGCGCTTTATATTGTAAGGTAGACCCTACAATAATACATACAGAGAAAAAACCCAGCAAGCACTTTGGCGACAGTGGGAAGGAAAAACTCCCTTTTAACAGGAACAAACCTTCAGCAGAACCAGGCTCAGGGAGGGGCGGCCTGCTGCGACCGGTTGGGGTGAGAGAAGGAAGACCAGATAAAGACATGCTGTGGAAGAGAGCCAGAGATAAATAACAAGTGTGATTCAATGCAGAAAGGTGATTAAAAAGGAAATACTCAGTGCATCATGGGAATCCCCCCATGGCTAGCATCCATATGTCTCTCAGAGTGCAAAATCCCCACATAAACACCAGGAATCATTATGTCAAGATTAGGCTTTGCTCAGAATCAGAATATATTTATCCTCGTCACCCTCTCTGATACATCCCACTACTGCAGAATCATCATAAAACTAATGGAGGTGGCAGGTTTCTGAAGTCTATACACAGTGAAGAGAAAGGAGACAGGACGGTCCCCTGCAGGGCATCTGTGTTGCTGACCATACTGTCCACCACACAAAACTGCAGGCACACATAGTGTGGTCTGACAGCCAGATAGTTGGCAATCCAGATGACTAAGGACGCATAACTACCTACATCGCTGTCAGTTTAAAAAACAGTAGGGCTTGTCTGAAGGTGCTGAAGGAGAAGCATCTGGCTCTCATTTATCTCACCGTGCTCACTAACCAGGTAAAATGGAGAGGACTATCAGTGGGCTAATCGTGGGCCATAGATAGTGAAAAATGATGTGTGATGTTCACAATGAGCACCATGGGTCTCGTTGTGACATGGGCTATGACCTCTGGAGTCTCATCAGCTGGTTCCTGATTTGTTTAGTAGTGAAGCTGACTGGAGTGGAAGGAGTGGAGGTGCCCTGATGTAGAATGTGAAGAGTGTACAGACCCTGGGAGCCTCCTCACAGGAGGGTTTATACATTAACACAAGATTTTATTTTATTTATTTTTTAATTACTTGGATACAGACTTCTGAGTTGTTAAAATCAATCATTTAGAATGCCAAAACTTAAATTCCTAATGGTATGTAGGTATAAATTTAAATTTAAATAATAGCAGTTTTGCTTCTCCGGTCAACAAACCAGGAGAAATCATTCATTTTATATAACTTGCATTAGTCACTGACATTATTTTTAAGGTAATGATATACAATAAACAGTTTGTTCCATTTAAATAGGGCTGCACCTTCATTTGGACTTTATTTACAAAGGCACATCGCTCATGTATTTGTGCAATAAATGTGCACCAGTCAGAAAGAGATCTAGATGTGGGTATCATCAACATTAATATGAAACAGGGTTTGTTTCTGAGCTAAAAGATGCATGATGGTATTTTACTTTAGTCTCTACTGAATCCCCCTCAAAAGAGGTTGATCATATCATTTCCTCTTAGAACTCAAGTTTCACCAACAGTTCACACACACTTCCTCCACAGCTATAAACAAACTTATTCAGAACAAGAAAACCACCAGGGTGTCAGATTTCCCCTGTATGGGCTGCTGCTGTATTTCCGTTTTTTGTTGTGTTCTCTCTTCTGCTTCTATTTTGTGGAGGGGGGGGTTTCATAGGAGAAACTGAAATCATGCTTCATTTCTGTACGCCTAACAGAGATAAGTTCGCTGGGTTCAGAGCTTTATGTTGACATAAATGGTTTAACTGGGTCTTACCGACTTTAGTGAAACGAGACCATCTATGTCTTCAGCACTGGTCAAAGGGCACTCTTGTAATATAAAGCAGGTCAGGCATTATTAATTCAGTCAGAAAGGTTTCCATACCCACAAACAATACAAAAACTGACCACAACTTTGACAACATTCTCCTCCTGTTTCTCAAAAGAAAAATAACATGAAAACAATTAAAATAAATTAAATGTGAATTCACGTTTCACGCTAAACTGAAATCTTGATGCTGAGAAAGGTGTTCAATGCAAATAAATGGAAATAAATAATGCTAACCAGTTTCCTTTTTCTCATTCGGTTTGGCATTGGGATAATGCCATCAGGCTACTGTCCTGATTCTTATCATATTAAACCATATTTTGACATATCTTTGGTCTTTGTGGTATGGTCTGCTCACAGTAAAGATCAGATGTAGTTAATCCAGCGGTTTTCATGACGTCATTTCTCCCGTACACGTGGAAGCGCACCTCAAACTTAAGATACAGTCCTGGACATGTCACGGTTAACGCTGCCCAACCGTGGGGATGTGGGGAAAGGAGGACCCAAATGCTGGACTCTTTGATGCAACAGTGCATTTATTTACAGTGCAGGGAAAACAACAAATCCGCAGTGCGTTCCCGACTCCCGTGACATGTCCTCTTCCCAGTGATAGTGTTCTTTGTCTCCGCCCCTCAGTGTCTGAGCACCCCGTGCTCGCTGCCCTCTCGTCTCCACATTCTCTTAGGGAATAACAAAGAGGCAGCCGTCAGAAACACCACAATGCAGCAGACTAACCTTACTAACTTGACAAGAGCCTAACGTGAAGTCACACAATGATCCAGCGTTGGAGAGAGCTCCATCACACTCTTAAGTAGTTTCTCCGACGAGGCTTAATCAGCTGCAGGTGTGTGATGGTCCTCAGGTGTGGCCAACCACCTGGCAGGGCCACACCCACCAGGCCTGAAGGTGCCTGTCACAGCCGCACCCACACAAACACGCACACCTGGACAACAGAAACAGCAGTGCAGAGCAGCAAAAACACATATAATATAATACAAGTCCATAACTGCTCAAGGACCCTGGGTCGCTCAGATCCAGGACCCTGACAGGGCCACCACTTTTTTACAGTTCAAGCAGCTGCCACAGGCTGCAGGGGCATTGGAGGAAAAAATGTTAACAAACATAGAAACAGTATGGCTGTTTACATGGCTGCACACTGCTCGGGCCACACGTAGTGTCCTCTGAAACTCTTACAAAGAACAGAGTACGCTTCAATCATATTAGAGGCTCAAATTACCCACTCATGACTCTTTGATAGCCTCACACTGTTTTTATTTCTGAGCACAGACCCATAATTTATATCACAGATTTAGTGTCTTTATAATGGTAAGGTTGCCATGGAGTTTTTGGATTAATTTTTTGAAGAAACAATTAAAATAATCCTAACGCTAATGCTAAGTCCTAACCTGAACACCATCTACATGGCTTGATGTGAGAGGTTAGCTAACTGCAGCATTTCATCCCCTCTTTGTGTTATTTTGTTTGATTTCCAAAAATCGTGACATTTGACCAAAAACGAAAGGAAAGACAAAAGGAAATTCTCCCCTCTCACAAGCTGTTCTTAGCGCTTTCAACCACAACTGATTGTCTTCCTCTCAGCAAAGAGTTTCACTTCTGCCTCTTCTTGTGACAGCTTTTTATTTCACTGAGGATCCAGCGTTCCATTGTGTTGTCATGTCGGTTTCTTTGAATCCAATATATGGGAATATTCTACATGTGACAAATATTCAGTGTGATCTCAAGACTCATTTTTCTTTCTGTGGTAGCACAGCTTGTTTCGTTAGCACGGGTAATCTAAATTGTCCCAAGCACCTTGCCCCAAGTAGACTAACAAGTTAATTAGGAGGTACTGATGTGTGAACCATGCAAACATTGTTCAGTGCTTCGGCTAAATTTGTTTCCGGTGATCCTGTGTAAATATCTAATGTAATGTATGTTTGTGTGTGTTGATGTGAATTAACTGTAGAGTCTGTAAAGCAGTGCAGATGTGCTGTTCATACATATGAAAATATGCACACAGAGTGTAAATACTGGTTATGTAAATAATTACAATTGATTATTTGGCATATTTAACATGTCTTTCATGTGGTACAGTATTCAAACTATATTTCTATATGCTGTTACATTTAATATGGCAGATTATTTCATTTGCAAGAATGAAAATAAAACAAACTGTTTTTCTCAAAATGTTTTGTTCATTGTACTTATCCTTTTCAGGGTCGCGGGGAGGGGGGGGGAGTAGGAGGCGGGGTACACCCTGGACAGGTCATCAGTCTGTCGCAGTGCTAGCACACAGAGATAGACAACCTACATTCACACCTATGGGCAATTTAGAATGATCAATTAACCTATCTTTGAGGAGTACAAATACCTGGGAACCATCTTTGACAACCTCCTGAAATTCTCTGCCAACACAGAGGAGATTCTCAGGAGGTGCCACCAACGGCTATACCTCCTTAGGAAACTAGTGGTGTGCGGATCAATACTGAAATATCGATTCTTCCGATACCAGCAATTTATGTTCTAGAATCGATTCTCATATTATAATATCGATATTTTAGTACTCTGGGGTAAATTTGTAGTTTTTCCATTAAAATGAATGCAGTGGAAAGAAACTATACAATTTGGATCGTCTAATTTGGAAGGAACTACTTCCTCTTACGCCTTTCATAGTCATATGCGGAATACGGCTGTATAAATGTGTCGCAGCCCCTGGCATTCACACTCACAACAATGGCTGAGTGCAAACAGAGTCCTGTGTGGACACGTTGTTGTGGCAACACCACTGACCTCGTCAAACACCTCGGAGGAAATCACATCACAGAATATGATAAGCTTATGTTGAGGCGAACTGAAGAGGAGGACAGGGACAGGTGCTGCTAGGGCGAGACAGACGTCTCTCGCAGAGTCCTTTAGTGCTGCAGGCAGTCAACGTGTTCAAATAGCGCACAACGTCAGGTTTTTTTTATTTCTATATGATTATTCTGCATTATTAAGCAATAAAAACAAGTTGTCTGATGTCCTCTAATCATTATGAAGCAATATGGTTATGTTATTATTACAATTACATAATACAATTATATATTGTATTATGAAATGCAATGAAACATTACGTTTTTGTACAGAGTATCGGTATCGGATCAGTATCACCGATACCACCCTGAATTTTACTTGGTATCGGATCGGAAAGGAAATCAGTGGTATCGCACATCACTATAGGAAACTCAACTGCTTTACAGTCAGCACACCCATCATGATGGCTTTTTACCATGCCTTCCTGGAAAGCATCATGACCTTCTCCATCACTTGCTGGTTCCACTCCCTCAGCCTTCAGAACAGGAACAGCCTGCAGCACATGGCATCAGTGTGCTCTAAAATCATTGGCCTGCCTGTCAGAACTCTGGCACAGGTTTTCAGCCAACAGGCCCTTAGACAGGCAGCCAAAATCATCAACGACCCCTCTCACATTCTTCACCCCGCATTTCAATGGCTCCCCTCTGGGCGACGCCTCCGCTGCATTTCCTGCAGGACTGAGAGAGGAGAGCCACCTTTGTCCCCAAAGCCACTCTGCTTTCCCACACCAGAAACATCAACTACTCTACATTCTTTTTATACTACCGACACTTTATTCACTTTTAGTCACTTACAGTTATTTATTCACCTTTTAGTCACTTTAATTTTAAAACTGTGTAATTTTAAAGCTGTGTATATTCTGTGTATTTATTATCTGACTCTTATTGCCTGTTCTTATTGTCCTTATCTTCAACGTTATGCTGCTCTGTCGTATGTTAATTGGCCCTTGGAGATAAATAAAGTCTTTCTGATTCTATCCCCACTAACTGCATGTCTTTTAGTGATGGGATTTCCAGCTCTTTTTAGAGAACCGGCTCTTTCGGCTCCCAACCGGCTCTTCAGGTTGTTTTCTTGCTTTAATTAATTTGTTATTAAGAACAATATAAAATTATGCACAAAAGGAATTACTAATGTAAAAAAAAAGTGGTTTTATTTATATATGTTTATATATAAATACATACGGTGGCCCCTAGAAACAAAGCACGTGCAAATTCCAAAACACATTTCTAGCGTTAACTGAACTTCAAAACAGAGCTACCTAGATCACTTAAATTACACAATTGAAAGCATAAGTGTATTGTTTGTGTATTTATACACAAGCACTCATAATTATTCAAATAATTTTAAAAAAAATATTCATTTACCTGTTACTACCACACACCAAATCCCGTCGTTGGTACTTCCTGGCTTGTGTAGCCACTAGGTAACAAAAGCTCAACACTGCCCCCTAGCATCCTGGAGCACTTCTGTTGTGTTTCGTACGTGCTTTGTCTGTAGGGGCCACCGTAAATATACTTTTATTTATTCACTCCACATAAAATGTAATAAATAAATCATATAATACAAAAACCAACTATTTACATTTCAACTTTTAACTATTTCAATTTTCAGCTTTTTCCTTTTAAACAAATTTAAAGTGAAACAACACAAAACACTGCAAACCACAACACAATTAAATATAAATTAAAATATGAAAACAAAAAGAAGATGCACATTCTCTGTCATATGGACCTGCATGAATAAACTTTCTGTATCCTTTATCATCCGCAACTGAATATAGTTGTGGATGATTACTATACCTTTCTAATGTGGCTCTCTCTCTCTCCCTCCCGCTCTGTTCCTGTGCTACTGCGAGTGTAACTACCGCCCCTCCCCCCTCTGCCCAGCACAAAGCACAAGGCTCGCGTACCGGAGTGAAGCAGGAAAAAAGGGTGAGAGAGAGGAAGAGAGAAGGAAAAAGAAAAAAACCCACGGTTCCCAATAAGGAGCCGGCTCTCGTCGTTCACTTCAAAGAGTCGGCTCTAAGAGCCGTTCCATTCGCGACCAACACATCACTAATGTCTTTGGACTGTGGGAGAAAGCCAGAGTACCCAGGTGGGACCCACGCAAACTCCACACAGAAAGGATGATGGTGGAATTGAACTCAGAACCTCTTGCTGTGCGGCAACAGTGCTAACCACCGTGCCACCGATTTTTGTTTGTTCACACAATAACCCATAATGAAAAAATGAACCAAATTTACATAAAATTCTTGCAAATCTATTTAACATAAAAAAATAAAAAATAAAAATTTACAAAGATATACAGTCTGACTTAAAAATGCATCTCTTCTGCCATTATCCTTGTAGGGTTTTTAGGGACCTCTTGAAGTGTGGTCAATAAACAAAAAAGACAGTATAAAAAAAGCTATTTACTGTGAGATAAATACTTTCCACTGGTGATATTTGGCACAGCTCTGTAGGCAGCTGGAGGAGGAAGCAGGGGAATTACCACATAAGCAGGGAGTTCCCCTTCTCTCTTCCACTCTGTTAAAGTGTTGAGGAATTATTACTCTACTGGAAACTTTCACAGTGCCAAATACAAAAACTTGCACTGTTAATGAATATGAACACAGAGCTAAGTCATAGTATCTTACGTAATAACCAGGCTAATATTACCCACTGTCAGCAGTGATGAGCTCATACGAACACAGTCAAAAGTCAGGAAAGTCACATATGTCATGTAACCATGCAGCCCTGTACTTAAATACATGTAACCATGTATTTTTAATTAAAGTAATCTAACTCAGAAGGGGTTTAACATATTGTCTAATTCGAAATGCATTGACTAAATTTTTCAAAAGTGTTGGCATTAAAATGCTATTTAATTCTAGAATGGCTTTTTTAAATTGTTTGTTTTGATTGAGTTGAATCAAAAAAACAAACCATATCAAGTTTTTCTGAGAGGTTACATTACCATAAGTAACATGTAGCATTCTAATATCAGCTTTTAGACATTAACAGCAATGTCTGAAACATTAGCAGAAACCCCATCCTGGAATCAGGCTTTAAACCAGGTTCCGTACACGAGGGATTTGAAACTGCATTTATTGTGTCAGCAACGCAGTTCTGTAATGTTACATGGTCTGCCACTTTGTGGCCTAGTTGCTGTAGTTCTTCCACTTTGCAATAATACTACTAACAGTTGATTGTGGAATATCTTACAAACTGACTTGTGGCATTCATTACAGGACCACACTTGGAGCTCTTTAGAGCGACCCAGTAAAAATGAATTCTCTGTTATAAGTACTAAGATGTGTAATGGTATCAAATCCTGCAGACAGTGACAATTTAGAGTGAAACGTGGTTCTCCTTTTTAAAAGCACAAATGAAATTAAATTCACTTTAAATATATAGGATGTTATTTGCTAGAGGTTTCTCGATCACTGTGTGCAACCTTTTTGTTCAGCCCACCAAGCTAAAGCTGTATGAACTTCAACCGCATCTGAGTTGTTGTTCTTTCATTTAAAATTGATTGTAGTAATGTACAGAACCAAAATGAGGGGAAAAAGGTGTCTCTGTGAAATATTTATGGACCTAACTGTATTTCCCCCATTTCCATTTCACTGACTGGAGGCAGGACACTGGGAGGGTGATTACATGAAAATAAGTTGCACATTTAATTTTACTTCATTTGCAAGTATTATAAAGTATTCTTTTAGTGTGCATGCAGTTGAAAGGTAACATATACATTTCAATAATGGTGTCATAGAGACAAATATCTCAGTATTTAGCAAGCATGATAAATTTGGGTTCATCTCGATGAAGTAACTGTTAAACTCCTCCACTTCCATGACTGTTTCGCTGCACACAAAAAGAGGACACACTGTGCTCTGTGGTTACTACCGTGTGTTAATTAATTGTCCCATCGCACACACTAGCAATAATTTGAGCTTTCTTTAGCCGTTGTGGCTCATTTGTTTGCTCTGTTTAGTTTGACCCTGTAGCATGTTTGATATCTTTTCTTTTTGTCTGGTTTGTAAAATGATAAACACAGCTCTTGCAAACATGATTTCTTTATAAGCTGAGTTTTATTCAAATATTTCAGAGTACCACAGGCACTATAAATTCTTAGACATTTGTTTGTACTTGCCATAAAACGAAACAAATAGTTTCATACATAAAAATCAGCACAAATACAGTAGGACATTCATTATAAAACACACAATAAAATTAATAAATATATAAGTATTTCAATATTTCAATAAATAAATAAATAAATACAACAAATAAAATAAATACGACAAAGATATGTTAAATAAATAAATTCCCCAAAAAGTAAACCCTTTGTTTTTCTATTCTGTCAGCCTGTAGTGACATGGTAGCACTCTTTGGTTGACTGCTGTAGTTACAATAGTTTGATTTACTTACAAAAATGAAATGACTTGCTGATACAAATATTTCAAGTATGGCTGATGGTTAAAGTACATTTTCCATCACCTCTTTAGTGCAATGTGAACCATCTGTGGTTTCCTCACATTCAATAGTTAAAAGCCTTCCAGAAGGACAGCAGGTCATGGTGGAGAAATGGAGTCTGAGGTCACCTTTTCACCTACATTCATCAGACACCTCTCCTCACAAGGCAAAAACACCAAAGAAGTTCTTCCCTGGCTCATCCTCCAATTTCTCCAGCATTGCCTCCTCTGTCTGTGTTCTCAGTCTGTCATGAGCATACAAGTTGAACACAGCCCCCATGTAAACTGCAGTGTACCAGTTCCCATCCTCATCTGAATCCCCACTGGTTGTCTTTTGGCAGACTGTACGGATAGAGTGGAGAATGGTCACATATTTAGGTGCATATGAGCGAGACCAGCGTTTGACAGTGTGGCTCAGGTGGACCATGGGGTGTGAGGAGGTATCGTCGGCATCGCTGCTGCAGTCAACCCGGAAAGATGCTTGGCTGTAAACAAAGTAGAGGCCATCTCGAGGAATCACAATTTCATTTTTATCGAGCTCTAGTCCTCCCTGAGAGTGGGACTGGTCCACATCCTTCTGCCATTCCACTGAGGTCTTTCTACTATAGTTGTGTACTCCTGTTGAATAGTACAGACAAATGGTGGACACCATGGTGAATTTCTGATTAACAGTGAAATAAAACTGCCCTTGAGTCAGGGGTTCCTGAAGAGAAATTTCAAATGAATTCTGTTGCAGTGACATGAGCCTATTTCTCATTTATCCTCTACATTCTTCAGTCTAACTAGAACTCATTTAAATCTCCAAAATATCCAAAGGAAACAGGCATAATGTGCCCTTAAAAATCAAGGAGAAGTTCTAAAACTTTCTGGAAAAACTGGTAAGCTTCCTGAATCAAGAACTTCCTCCAATTATGATCCACTAAATGTCCCATGAATCTCACAGAGACGTGTGATTTCATGATTACAATACTGGGAAAGGTGTAGTATGGTTCTCCACAGTCAGTCTAAAATATGCCTTGCACTTTTTTTTACTTGGGTTTCATCCCTTACCTTGCAAATGAATAGCTGCTCTCACATTTGATATTTGCCTCAAAGTGTGATGGAGATCTGGGAACAAGAAAAGACAGAGAATATGAATTATACAGTGTTTTCGCCTACTAGTCACTAACATTACTAAGCTAAAAAAAACAAACAAAAAACAAACAAACATCAATAAGTCCACTACTTTTGTAAGAGTTGAGGGTACTCACCAAAATTGTCCTCATTTTGTCCAGGAGCCTGTTTGAAATAGAGCATGACACAGAACGCTGTTACAGACTGGTTGGTTTTAGGTGAAACAGTTCATTCACTGTGAGAGTCAATGGCGCTCTTGAGTAGTTTAGAGAGAATTTTAAAACCCACCTCAGCACGCCTGTTAACAACGAGGGCAGCAGCAGCAGTAGCAGCGAGGCAAAGTGTGAATGCCAGGAGGGCCATGGTTAGCTTTGACCTGGGCTTGATTTCCTGTGTTGCCTGTTTCTCTGTGTCTTTGTCGATCATTGTATCCAGCGTGACCATGCATTCACCTTCCATTGTTTTTAGTGGGTGCCTTCTATCAGGTACAGTTCACTTCTTAGCAGCCTTTCCTCCTCTTCTTCCACCTCTTCTTCTTGTTTGATGCCGCTATCTGTGAGAGGCTGTTTTAAAAGGCTCTCACCGATAGAGGGGGAAACTCCAATGATGTCACACATGTGGAGACTCAATGAGAAATAGAGACCCAGTGCCTGGGAGGATCTTACGCACCACACCTCCTCTGCACATGGCATGTGTATGATCGAGTTATACCAACATCAAATAAAAAACCAGACACCTGTGTGGAATCCCCTTTTGCACCTCAGTGCACACCCACACAACTCAATAGATCATTTCAAACAGGCACATACACTCACCTGCTGTATACCTGCGTACACAGGCAAGACCACAGATCACTCTGTTCTACTATTCTAAATTTTTAAAAAGCACATGTTAGCTATTGATGTGAAGTGTTCACATATGTTGTTGTGTTGTCTTCGTTTCTATGTGGGGCAGACACACTGAAAGCCAGTTCAAATGTGGGGCAATAAGTCACAGAAAAGTCTGCAACCTTCAGCTATTCGTCAGTCAGTTTGACCACTATTGCCAAATGTTTTTTACGTTATTGTGTTTGATATTCCACCAACAATTAACTGCCAGTGATGTCATCGTCAACCTACATTTATAGTACATGTGTCACTTCCCTAATAATTTTATAAAGGTTTTTTGAAACGTTTCATCACTCACGAAACACTGAGTGACGAAACGTTTCTCCCACTGAAAACGCTACAACAGATTCAACCTTTTGGGATGCATGTTTTAAATGTGATATACAAATAAGATGTTGTTCTAATTACTAAAAGGCACTCTATGAAGTATGTTCTGAGTACAAACGCTTGTCTGTCTGTATCTCTGTGTGCCCTGAGATGGCATTACAAGCCCTTCAGGGTGGACACCACCTTCTTGCTCTCTAACAGCTTGGATAGATCAATGATTAATGGAAATGATGGACTGATTAATGATAAGAGGTTATATAAAAGGTAGAATATATGTAATACATGATTACAAACCATCTGAAACTGTATCATTAATAATCCTTTCCATGGCTTGTTTGTATGAAAAGATCATATGGTAACTGTAATGAGTAAGGATGAGTGTAGGTGTTTCATGTCTATTAGCAGACAGAGTATTATATATAGAGTAAGTGTTAAAGATTTAGTCAGCACTCTAGTCAGATAACCAGAGTTCATTACTATTCTGAATTGAATGTCATAAATTGATCTTGAAAAACTGAAAAATGGGAACACGTTGCATCTGAATGTCTTTTCATCGTCACTGACAAACCATGCCCTGGAAAGAGGAACACCGTTCTACGTTTGCTGCAACACCGTGGGAGGCTGTGGTAGCGGGTTGTCTACCACTGGGAAGGTTGCGTGATCAATCCCTAATCTACATAGGCAAGATCTTGAATCCCCATGTTGTCCTCATTGCCCCCACTAGTGTGACTGATTGTGTAAATGTCAGAAACAGCCAGAAAAAAAAGCTGTATGATGGTATATGGGACTGTGTGGAAAATACTTTGAGTGCTCAACATAAGTTTAAAGGTGGTATATTTCAGCCAATTGTAAAAGCAATAACAAGTGATTTATTTACATTAGATGCTGACTTTGAAAACTAACATATAATGATATTTCAACTTCACAATCACTTTAAACCATCTTCAGAAGAGAAAAAGAAAATAGCACTTTATTTTGAAGTAGTCTTTGGTTTCATAGAGGTAACCGACGATAGCTGGTGGTGGAAATCCCAGATCTCAAACACCACAAAGGTTAAGGTGTAGCTCCTGGGCCTCAGGCTTATCTCTGGCCCATAGTTTAAAAACAGCTACCCAGAGGGTGTCACAACACCAAAACGAACAAACCTTAAAACCTTCTCTACAGAGATAATGTAGAAGAACATATGATATCCCTTTCACATGAGCTTACAAAATAACAGTTGTGTAAAACAGGCATGCCTATTGGGGAGGCTTTGTGACTGTATCACAGTCATCATGGAGAATGTCTGTCTTTATTCTTTAAGCTGCAAGTTTTTAACAGTCATCTTCACGCGAGAGTGAGCCTTTCATGCTCAAACTATATTTTGGGTGGAGTAGCATCTTAAGGTGTTAAATGATGTCACCAGTGGTGGTCAAGATAAGATGAGCTCTATTTTTCTATAGCTATCATATATGTATATATTTGTATTAGCTATGAAACAGCTGTGGGAAACAGGAAAGAAGTGTGACCAGTAAGATAGACAGAGAGGTTGCAAACAGTGGAGTTGTATCAGCTAAAACCAATATATTTGCATAAATAAAAACTGAGTGTGCTCGCAATGCCCACAGGAAGTCTCATAGCGACAGCACGGCACATCAAATTCAGAAAGTTTACTTCTTACACTGATGGCCACAACATTAGCATATGAAACAAATTTGCTCTCTTTAGAAAGGACTTGTTCAACATATATTAGACAGTGGACAGAGTAATAGATTCTGAAGGACACTGACATGATTACATTGGTGACACTTCATGTCTGTGGTGGACTACATTTATATAGACCTTTTCTAATTTGATCACTCACTTAAAGCATATTGCAAACCACCTTCAACTATTCATACAGCACTTATTCTGGCACACAGTCACACACAGAAGTTTTACTATCAGCATTTGGTGCTACTGTGTAGTCACATCCTGCTCACACTGTATTATGCTAGATAATTTGGCTTGGCATGTTTCCAAAATGGCGAATGTTAACTGATGAGATGCTAGCTGTTGTTAATTATTATTACAGACAATAAAAATAACTTTTAGTGTAAGAAATATCTGAAAGGCAGACAAAAAACTGGCTGAAGTACACATGAAACAGTTATGGAAGAAACACAGTAACACACTGTCAGCTATTGTTCACTGTGTGGACTACAATTATGTTAAAGCATCAAAGGTTAAAATAAATACATACATCAAATCCAGAATACTCAAAACATTTCATCTGTTTTAATGTAGTTTTATTGTCTTATAGCAGCAATGATATCCAACTTTATTACAAGAACTGTCTCCAAATGTCTCCAAATCTGCCTTAACCGGAAGGCAAAGTACAACCTTTTACTGTAACTCCACAAAACTCTTTCAGTGCTATTTTAGTTTACAAAACTGGCCATGGAATAAAAGACCACACACAACCACAAACTGTTTGGAGACTGTTGTCTATCGTCACAGACACATACCAAGATAAAATCTAACACAATCAACTAAAACACTGAAAAGGAGAAGAGGAATCAAAGATGTCAAGATGCATTCAAATAAGCAAAGATACTTTATAACACATTTTTATGTTTCCATGTATCATTTTATATGTCATTCAGTGAAAATGACTAAACATGGTTTTCCATAGAGGGTGAACTTCAGCAGCAGGGGAGTATACGCAACAACAAGACAGAAATTATATTTAAATTGTTTTTCTTTCCTCAGAAACTGCCCCTCATGTGGTCTCCGGCCCACTTACACACAGAGTTTGGTATTTTGTTTAGCAAAAGGATGTGAAAAAAAAACTCCCCTCATGTCGCAGTACATCAGTCAGCTTGTCATGCTTTTTTCTCTTTCTAAAACTGCCACGAGAACCAAACTCCCTTTATCTAAAAAAAGACTAGATACATTCCCTGAGAAAGGAGGAATACACAGTGCTTTTTGTAGAATGGCCCACTACTCAGCTTCCTCTTTACAAGACAGGATTCGAAAAGCTCTAGTAGATAAATAGCTCACCAAAAATATGATGTGGAAATCTCTCTAGAAAGATTTTGATGAAAAATGTGTTTAAAAATTGCCATGTTATACTGTGACTATTACTCACAAATTGCAATTTATCTACAGAGGTTATTATTGTTGTTGTTGCAACATTTTGTTATTATTGTCACATTTTATCTGACCCTCTCATGAGGGTCAGATAAAATGTGTTCATGGAGCCAGGCTTGGATGGAAAATTTTTAAATTCCTGGTGACCTGCACCTATAGGGACTAAGTAAATGTTGGTTGGGTGGGCATCATGCTAGCATCATGACTCAAACAAGGACAGAGACCTTGGCTTGCTGACCTCTGGCTGCAGAAACTTGAATCTGTATATGGAAAAGACCCTCTGTGGGGTTGAAAGAGCCAGATCTGATGCATAATGCAAAACTATAACTACTTCTCACATTCTTGGGTCTTGGATTACAGAGTCTTGAGCACTTGTGTGAAGACAGGAAGCAAAGCAGAGATTAGCTGAAATAGAAATCGAAGTTACTACACTTATTCAAATCACTTCGCTTAATTCAAGAATTTTAACCAAACTAAACTGTAAATGGTTTGTACAAACATTTCCAAACTCTGCGGGTGAAAAAGATGGTGAAACTCTCAATTTTTGTTAATCCATGTGGCCTTTATTCTACAGAATAAATGCCCCATTCAATTTTAGGGGAAACAACCATGAATCACTCGTATAACAACTGTAACCACTTGAAAAGAGAGAAAGGAAGGTTTCAGGCTGATGATGATGATAGGTTATCTAAGGACAGAAGAGGGGAAACCCCAGAGCTTTACCTTCTTGGTTTGATTCACTTTTAAACAGGGAAAATTCCAAAATAAATAAACTCGTATTTATCAGTGTAGTTTTGTGCACCAAGATAAATGTTTAATTTAGTGGAGCCAGAAAATGGATACAAATGGATTTATCAAAATGCATTGTAATAGATTCACACAAACACAATTTTCTACAGTAGTGATGCACAGTGCATGAAAGTCCATCCATCCCTCCAACCAATTTCATATAACTTCTTATCTAATTCATGGTTGCAGGGTTGCGGGAACCTACTCCAGCTGTCACAGGGCGGGGTATATGGAAGCATGTGAATGAATATTACACACTGATGTGACACCTCGTACATTAATGTGATGCTCTAACAGTCATCATGCTTTTGAGATGATTAACTCTTAATGGCCACTTTTTCTTTGAAATCATTTGATTTTTACTTCAGAAAGTATATGTATATGCCAACGTACCTATCTTTCTCTGAGAGAAAAAAGATAGATAGCTAGATAGATATGCTGGATACCAGATTTTAGCACATATGTTGAAAACAGTCATTGGGTTTGGTTATAGGGAGTATTTGCTTTTATTTTTCTTTTCTGTTCTTTCGCTTTTATGTAGAAGCCAAATGAATTGAAGAGAATCAGTGAACCAGGTGACCTCTTTCCAAATAGGAAATGAAAACAAAACTCTTTTCTAAAAACTATAAATACTGTCAAGTCACATGGGTGACAAGTAACCACATGCATTTGAGATAATGTGATGACTTTGGGAAAAAGGAAAAACCAGAGTTATGCAACTGGGGCTGAGGCAATAGTTACTGCATCATCTCATTGTCCATTATTTCAACTTACCTGTCTGGGCAAGGCCAGTGCTCAGAAAGGAATCAAGGAGTGGAAGGGAGGAGGAAGTCCTGTGGAGTTTTGTAGCTGTGGATGAAACCAGGTAGAAAGAAACTGTTTGCGATGCTGGTGTTTCCTGTCTCCTTTTCGCAACTAAACCACGAGCTGTTACGTGCATGTTTGTTCCTGTTGTGAGGTGCGTGTTGACATAATGGCGGAGGAGGAGTAGGACACAGTGGTTTGACATATTTAGAATATCACTGCTGGTATTGATTAATGTTAAAATATATTGTGTATTTGTAGCTTTCTAGATCTATAAGCCTTTTAAAATTCTGTAAAAAGCATGTCATGTTCTAAGTCCTGATGATTGATGAATTTTGGGTTTCTGATTTGTTGCTCATTCTTTTATCTTAACTCTTTGTTTTTCTGGTTTTCCCAGCGTTTCACACACACACTCCACAGGTCTGTTGATGACTCTCCGAAGATTTGGATGAGCTCTTTTCTGACAGACAATCTGGACAGTGCAGGAACTTATGCCAGGCTACTTTTTGTGGACTTTAGTTCCACTTTTATTACCATCAACCCAGCTCTACTTCAGGATTCCTCCTGCAGTGATCTACACACACAGCAGATTAGAGTAGACATGCAAGCATCTTTTTTCATTTGTGATTCTTGAGTTTAGACATTTAAAATACATAATTCCACTCTTCTGCTAATTTAAAGAATATGAGGTTTCATTCAGGTGTTTTCTGACTCTACATTTTCTTTTGTCATTAATCAGCTTTTTCAAACCTGTTCAGCTGCTTTCCAACTTTGAAAGTTTGAAACAGCAGTTTTGAACATTAACCTTCAAGTGAATGATTCTGTGTATTTCAGCTCATTCAACATTTTTAACTTAACATTCCAGCAGTTATTACATTTCAGCTCAAAACATTCAACTATCAGCATTCACACTGCAGTTTCTTCAGGAAATGCTTTTCTAGTTTTGGTTTCATTTCTTGCTGTTTTTGTCTCCTGGTTGTAATTCTGTATTATAAATGCATAATAAGTGTTGTGACATTACTTTGCCCTGGAATGACTTATTAATGCTCTATATTGTACATATACTATACAATTTACTATACAAAATAACTGCACTGAATCCTGAATTTAAAATTGAGCTGATGAACTAATACCACATGGTCTGTAGCAACCACATTATTCCTCCAAAACTGAGAACCTGCTGGGCCAGAAATCAAGTGCATCAGTTAGTGTGACGTACTGATGACTTTGCAAATATCTTTAATATCTGGGTCAAAGTAAGAGGTGTATAAATTAATGTAAAACCTAATAAAAACATCATTTATGTCTGCAGAATTAAGGCGTGTATTCTTGATCAAGTGGAAAGTGTCCAACAATAGTCCAACAATAATAAAGGCATAATTTTTCATGTATTCTGTTGTGTTATTTTATTAGCAGAAAGGTCAGATCTCTCCATTATTGGATTCAACACAGCATTAAAGTCACCAGCTATTGTAAGTTCTGAGGTTGGCAGGTTGCTTAGTGAAGAGAAACTTTATGAAGCACCATCTTGTTAGGACCATTGCAATGTAGCTACTATAAACTGGCCTTCTGGATCAAAAACTCTATGACTGGATTGTGATTAGGTTTCATATTTTATGGTATATTGCGTAGTTGCATTTATACAGCCAAAGACTTTTCACCATTTTACCATTTTCAAGCATAAAAGCTGTCTATGAATATAGTTTGTCTACACAAATTACTGCTTTCATTTACCCCAGAAAATTAATTGCGTGCATCTGAACGTAGCGTTTCCTCACTCAACCAAGTTCTTCAGTCTCAGCTGACTGTAGGTTTGCCCAGCCTTGTAAACAGCAGATTTGCATAATGACTGAAACTAGCACCACTGAATACACAATGGACCGTGACATCAATTTCATGATAATTAATATACAAATTGTCATGACCATTAATCAAGGACCGTGAGAGATCAAGGACCATTCACAGAAAGTTGGAAAATAACAAAGTTGAAAAAAGTATTTGTACTTCATTCAGCTGCGTCTGGGTTGTTGAGTTGGTGAATGAGTCCAGTGGTCGTTTTGATGATGGAGTCGGGTTACGAGTTTTCGTTCTTTATCATTGTGAATAATTGTTCGGAGTAGGAATCGATATAATAGTCCAGCTCCTCGGGGTCGAAACCTTTATAATGTAGAGAGAGATGTAGTTGGCTCAGTACTTTGTTTACGTTCCACAAACAGGTCGTAGCCATGTTGGATCACGCAGAGTCTCGTGAGAACTGAGGTTTACGTCGTCGTTGCGCTTCTGCTCCTTTGGATTGGGCAGACTAGGCGACTCATTGTCACAATGCTGCCATCTACTGTTATTATTATCCAAGACGGGCATTTCTTTCTGCTGTATTGTGAAGTGATCATGTGAAGTAAGACTTGCTCGTTTTTCCATAAGCTTTGCCATCGTTCATTTATAAACACATTTGTAGTTTCTGTTTCTGATTAATAAAATGCTGTTCTGTTCTCCATCAATCATTCTCTCATTTAGCCACATTTCAAGAAATCTAAACTACTTGGCTTACTCAAGGTTCTTTTCACATATTTTAGATGTTTGTCTGGCAAGCATCAGGTCAGGTCTTTTCCTTTCTTTTCCTTTTTTAATCAGTGGATATTTTAAAACCCAATCATTAGCCCACATTCTGCAAAGCCTTTTGAATTTAGTAGAACATATACACAAGATTTCTTCCTTATTTCCAGATGACAAGAACTCTTTTCCCACTCTACTGAACATTTACAAGGTACTTCCTTGACAAGTACCATTTACAATCTTTAGCTCCTCAGAAAATGTTATACTAACCCTGTTGTTGATTATTGGAGCATAGATGACTTTGTCTTTTGACTGTACATCTCATCTACTAATGCCAGTTCTGTCAATGCAAATGTAATGTCAGTAGAGGACGACATAGCTGCGCCTGCACTAAATCATGCTGCTCATCCATCATTTGAGAATTCCATTCCTAATAGTTACACAGCCTCCAACTGAGGTTGTCACCGCATCTTTTCAATTTTTTCAATCACCTTTGTATTCAGAGATTAAAAAACATGGGCATGAAAATAAACCTCATACAAAACCTAAAACAAAAAAAAAAAGAAGTACAAAAACCCTGGGACCATGAAAGCAAGTTTCTTTTAGTCATATTCTGCTAAGAGAAACATAAATTAGTGGCTCAAAAAATAGCAGTCCCAATTAAGACGCTATTAATGTATTAACCACTATAATACTGTTGAAGTGCAGGTTTTATGTGTTCTTCTCTCAAACCATGTAGCATTTCCTTCTTATATACTTCTATTTATATCCTGTCCCTCCTGGACACTCCCAATGGAAATCTTAACACCGCCACCTTGTCCATCTCTAGCTATGCCTCCTATGGGCCTTGTTCTTGACCTCATGATGCTTTCCATCAAGGTAAAAGAGTGGCTGGTTAATTATTTATTTGTTGCACTATTTAAATACATGTCTAGGTTTTGACAACTAGATCTTAACAGACTAACAAAGAGTTTTACCTAAGTCAGTTTCAAAGCAACTTCAACAGATCCAGGGTATAATCTGATTTCACTTATTCCAGTCAAAATAACCACTGTGGTTATCAGCTTATTAAGTCAGTAAGGATTTCATAATGTAGGTATAAACCCATTCGTATGAAATGGGCACCTTTAGCAAGAGCTGACCAAGCATTAATAAGAATAAACCTACAGGCAACAAAGGAGCTAGTTTTACAAAGGAAGACAAAAAATATAATATTAATCTAATAGTTAACATATAATACAGCCTGAAAGCAACACAGCTGCCACAGATAAGGCAGCAAAAACGAGGGTATGCAAACACTACCATGAGTATGTGTATATCTGAACCTGTGTGTAATTCTGATTGATTATAGAAAATCCATAATAAATACATATGTGGGTTTTTTTTAAAGTCATTAAAATATTACATTACAATATGTTGTTATATTACAGTTTTGTCTCCCTCTGTAGAATCAGTTGCCATTACATATTTGAGACTGATAATATGCTGCAAACGCAAAAGTTAGATTGATAAACCAATTAATAGGAATTGTAAATATATTATTTTTCATTATAAAGTGATTCTGTATATTATTTTTCATCAGTCGTACAGATTTTTTGCAGGTACTATCTGTAAAATAAAGCAGGCTATCAAATGACTTTAACCTCTTTCTGCCTCGCCAATTTACCGTAAACCTGAGAGAAACTACTCCCCCACAATTTTAATAACGATAAAAAGCTTACATGTAATGTGATTATCACGCAATTTGTCTTCACCCTTTCTTTCACCTTTTCTTGGGAATCTTCAAAGACGTTTTTTCGGCTTAAATGAGCTCAGTGTGTGTACATCAGATTGACAACAACGTCTTTTACAGATATTACGGTTCATGTTGCCAGGGAGTGACTGAGCCGTAGTCATACAGACACAATAGAGCTGCAGTCACCATGTATATAGCAAGTGTTTGTATTTGAAACTATTAGAGCAATATGTAGTATCTCTCAAATTCTGTGAGTGCAATTTCGAAGCGTTGTTCTGGGGCTATTATCAGTGAGCTCTGATGCCTTTGCACTAACAAGCTATCTTCGTTAGACAGTAGGAGAGTGGCCGTGCAGTGCACCGTTAGCTAGCTTTAGCCAGTTTGATAACATCATAGCTGCCTTGCCAGTTTTTACTATGGAGTTTCCTTTTGACATAAACCAATTATTCTCCGAGAGGATCTCTGTCTTGGACCAGACCTTGGTTGCAGGCCGCAAATCTGCAGGAAGGCAAGTTTCAAAGGTTTTCGAATCCTTCTGATAGTATTTTACAGTCAGACACTCGGTTCAGTTCAGGTTTTCAATTCAGGCTTACATAGCACAATACCAAAAATATACATACAGGCTCAAATATGTACTTAAACTTACTTAAATATTCTAATGTGGTGCTACAATATCTTTTTAAGTTTACACGGCCAAGGCTTATTGACTTTTCATTGGTGATCATGATTGAGTCCCACTTTTCCTCCATAAGAAAGATTTGATTGACCGCACTCATTGGACCCCAGGGATCTCAGTAAAGAAGAAAGAATTGTAGATTTACACAAGTTGGGAAGATCTGTTGGAGCCATGTCTAAACAACTGCAGATTCTGAGATCACCAAGTCAAACAATTGCACTTAAGTACAAGTATTTGGGAAACTATCACCGTCAGATGACAGGAAATTGCTTAGTTGTTCAGCAGTGTGCCCCACACAAGGTGCACTAAGGCTTAAGCTTGCCAGGATGTGACTGGTCTTAATGACTGCTCTTTTTGACCAGTCAGACGTCTTCAGACTACAAGTCACATTCTACATCATGACATGCCTATAATGGATGTATGTAAACATCTGACCTCAACTGTAAGCAGAACCATGTATAATGCAAATAGAACATAAATGACAAATCTGTGACCTCTTGGGCTGATCTACCTGGCCCTATGTGAAAAAGCAAGGAGTCAGGGACACTGCCCCCTTTTTTTTAGAAAAAATAAACATGAATGAACAGAAGTGGCCTGTTTAGGCAGGGAAACAGACTTTTATCATGCCTGTGGGCCATCTGGTATCCTGCATTTAGATGTACTGTGAGAAAGAGGTAGAGTGTCTGGAATATAAAAAGTGAAAATGAGCCTCTTATCTAATAATATTCTGCTCTGCGATTTCTTTGCAGGCCAGATCTTCAAGCTCACATAGCCACAGTTATTGATGAACTTGGGAGGGCCTCAGCAAAGGTGAGTCTGTGTAGTCCGCTTACTTTTCTGTGTAAAGACACATGTCAAAAGGGAATATTCTGCTATTTTTATTATCTACCATATGTATGTTACTATTTTCCTTTTAGTCAAAAGCTCAGGATTCAGACTGCTCTGAACAGTTGCTTTCCTTTTTTTATTTTTAGAACAAGCTCTTTATGAATTTCTTTACACTATCATCTTCTAAACAAGTCAACCCACAAGTCAAACTTTTATGTTTGTGTGTACACTGTCTACTGAAGTAACATCGCAGTGTATCGCCTGACATGTCCAGTCAAAATCACAATGCACAGTTGATTGGTGACATCGAAATATTGCTATTTATGTTACCTTCAGTATTTCTTGAGCTGTGTTTTCCAGTTCAGTTGGGACATGAAATAATCTTATGTGACTGTTAACTGAAACACTAAATTCACTTATGTCACTCAATAGCAGATAATGAGTGTATTAATACAGAAAAAGCATTCTGCTGTAATGTTTGTTTCAGCCAGTCTGTGTGTTATTGACTCTATATTTCAGATCAGATTCAGGTAAGCGCAAGCAGATGGATTAGAGAAGCTCCCATTTCCAATCAAGAACAATAACCCAGTTCACGCCCTCATATATTTAATGGAATTGTAATTATGCAGTTTTGGTCACAATATCATCATTTTACTTAAGTGTTTTAAAGCAAGTCCAGTATGAATTTTGCTGGATGACTGCAAGTATTATTTTGTTGAAAGCACCCATCATTCGCATACACTGTAAGGCCTGATCATTCTTCCATCCGTTATAGCTGTGCATTGTCCATTGTACATATTTTGTTTACTAAGGATGAGTAGCAGCAAAAATTGGAATCCGAATGCCTCACTTGCATACTTAGTTGACACCCAACTCACATTGTGTCTGCTGTCAGTGGTCTTTTTTTATGCACTCTCTCTTGTCCTATGTGGCTCTTAAAAGGGAATAAATATGGTAATGTCTAACTAGATAGTTTCATTCTTTTACCCACTAAAGTAGTTTCGCTTTGCTGCTTTGATTCACTTTTCACAATAATCTCCATTATGGCCACTCAGTTCATAGTTCATCCTTTGTTTAGCTCCTGTACTTTGTTTTTTGTTAAGGCCAACAGTCCCTTTAGGACAGCTTCCATCTGACTGGCTGCCCAAACAGAAGGTTTGTAGAGCAAATGGGGGTAAGAGGCAGTGTCTGTGTCAGATATGAGCATCTTTGGAAGCAGATCTGCTCATTTTGACATGATACAATAGGGGGGAAAGCATACAAAGAAGTGTGAAGCTTCAGTATTTGGCTTAGAGGGTTGGCTTGCTGGTATGCTGACATGTAATTTAAATCTAAGCATCCACCACTGGAATGGTATGACAGAAATTTTCTCTTTAAATTAGTTGAAATTGTTTTCTAATGCAAAATTTGGGGAGTTATAAAAATGTGAATGTTATTCCAAGATTTTTTGTATTATTACATAATAGGTATGTTCCTGAAATTGATTTTGTGATTTTCACAGATCTTCAAAGATGATTTTATGTTTTTGGTTTTTGTTTTTGCGCAATTTTCTGTTTCCTTCTTTTTGTTTTGATGTTGTCTTTGGACATTTAGTTTAAATGAATCAACACTGAGTCATACTAACTATCAGCATTCTTGAAGCAGAGGCCACAGCAAACTTCCACACCATTAATCAACCAAAGACCAAGATTTAATTGATTTGAAAGCCAGATGCTTAGCCTTGTCTAAGACCCTAGCTGGACAACTCAAAAAACAGTCTTATTTGTTATAAACCATTGTCCTCCTGGGCCTTACACGGAGTTTCTGTCTGATTTCGCAGACTTTTTATCCAATTTAGTACTCCTCTCGGATAAAATGGTTATTGCAGGTGATTTTAACATCCAAAGGAAAGCCTTGACATTTAATCTGTTATTGGACTCAACTGGCTTCTTTCAAAATGTGAAAGAACCCACCCAACACTTTAATCACACTCTAGATCTTGTTTTAACACATGGCATAGAAACTGAACATTTAACAGTGTTTCCCAAAAAGCCTCTCTTGTCTGATGTTTTCCTAATAACAATTATTGATGATAATAATAATAATGATAATAATAATGATAATAATAATAATAATAATAATAATAATAATAATTGACAATAATGATTACACAGTGGGGTGTAAATTTCATCACTGTAGATGAGATGAGATCATGATGAGATAGCCTTTATTTGTCAGTTGCAGTTGCCCACAACTGAGATGACAGACCTTGCCGACCGTACATACAATACAAACATCACATTGGGGAGACAGGTCAGGCTAGGTGTAAAACAAAAGGATAATACAGGAATGCACAGATATCAACACACCATAGCACAATAAAACACAGACAAGCAACATGGGAGAGTATTCCAGTGTGTACAGCTGATCTGGGACCGCTGCAATCTTCGATTACGCCTCCAGCTGATCCGGTGTCCACATCGGCCGGGAGGATGCGTTGGATCCGGGGTAGGGAGGGTGATAGTGAGGGCGTATCAGTGTACATGTTTCGTGCGTGTCACCACGCCCGGTTAAGCATCAGTCAAGAGTCTCCAGTGGACCCAGGTGGCCTTGAAGGAGGGGCAAAGAGTTCTGACAACAATCCTGTTATCATGGGAAGAATTTGTTGTTCCAGTCAGCTTCAACCTTGGCAGGCCTTCAGCTGGCACCAGGGGAGCTGCATGAGTGAAGATCGTGAATGTTTGGGTTTAGTGCGAACAACTGCATCCAATTTTTACAGTTGGTCTAATGTCCATCACTGGTTACCAGTTCTCTCAATTCCCGTTGTTCTTCTCTAAGATCTTATCCATATTGCGTTCAAAACACAGTCTGCGTACTCACAGCCAATCGTCTATCATGTCGGCCAGCCTTATGGGATCTTGAACAGCTGTAGCCGCTTCCTGTTCTTCGATAAACCAGGTCCAAGCCAGCTCCAATCAGCCCGAACTCTGTTATCATGGTTCCAAATTGGTAGATGTTGTTCATTGTCCTCCATCGAGAGTGTCGCCAGACACACGACGCAACCGACCATCGAGTATCCGGCAGCAAACGTCTCCGCAGGACAATTGGGCTCTCCCAAGCCTAGCAGAGTGTCAATTCTATTACAGGACCAGTTGATGAAATCCATAATTCTTTAGGTTTTAGAGAACAAGACTGGGAAACTCTTTGAGGGTTAAGAGTTAGACGAGACTAGACAAACACATAGAAGAAAATAAGAACAACCCCAGGTTTCTCTACTGCACTGTAGCCAGGCTGACAAAAAGTCAGAGCACCGTTGAGCCAACCATCCCTTTAATGTTAACTATTAATGACTTGATGAATTTCTTCACAAATACAGTTTTAACCACTAGAGAAAAAAATGCTCATAATCATCTCACAGCTGTAGCATTATCTACAGCTACTTTCAGTACCACTGATATTTATTTAGACTCTTTTTCTCCAATCGATCTTTATGAGCTAACTTCAGTAAATGCCTCTGCCGAACCATCAACGTGTCTTTTAGACCCCATTCCTACAAGACTGCTCAAAGAAGTCCTGCCATTAATTAATGCTTTAATCTTAAATATGATCAACCTAT